GAACTTATTTAAAAAAGACTCACAGAAAACAAACTTATGGCTAGCAGTGGAGGGGAAGGGATAAATTGGGAGTTCAAGATTTGCAGATATTAACTACTATATATAAAATAAACAAGTTTCTACTGTATAGCACAAGGAACTATATTCAGTATCCTGTAGTAGCCTATAATGATAAAGAATATGAAAATGAATATATGTATGTATACGTATGACTGAACTATTATGCTGTACACCAGAAATTGATGCAACACTGTTAACTGATTACACTTCAATAAAAATAAATCAATAGACAGACAGACAGACAGGCAGACAGACAGACTGTTGGGAATTAACCGGCTGCCACAATGTGCCGTGTGCCGGGACCAGGTCCCTTGGCTGATGTTCTGGGGCCATCTTGTACATCACAGGATATTTAGTAGTGACTTGAGCCCTGCCCACTGGATGCAGCCCCCTCCCCTGTTGTGACAACTGAAACTGTCTCCAGACACGGCCAGTGTCTCCTGGGGGCAGAATGGTACCCCAGACAAACTTCCCATCTCGCCCCACATTTCCGTTTCCACTACTACAAGGAGCCTTCCCCACATATCCACAAAGATCTGACACCCCGAGGCGGATACCACCCACCCTGAATCCTCGGCTAGAAGCACTGTCACCCACCGGGCCCCACAGCTCGCTCCAGCCTCCTCTCCCAGTATCCGGGCCTCTCTGCTGGTACTGAGGTTACTTGTGACCACATCCATGCATATGCTTTGTAGACAAGATTCTAAGAGTCCATTTAAGTACACACAGAACAGCAATGTTGGACTGGTAAAATGAAATAGGACAAAAAGAAAAGAAAAAAAGAAAAAAAAAGAAAAGAGAAAAAAGACAAGAAAAAAGAAAAAAAGAAAAAGAAAAGGAAAAAAGAAAAAAGGAAAAAGAAAAAAGGAAAAAAGGAAAAAGAAAAGAGAAAAAAGGAAAAAAGGAAAAAAAGGAAAAAAGAAAAAAAGAAAAAGAAAACAAGGAAAAAGGGAAAAAAAAAGAAAAAAAGAAAACAAGCAAAAAAGGAAAAAAAAAAAGAAAAGAAAAAGAAAAAAAAGAAGCAAGCAACAGAAAAGGGAGAGAGTCTTTATATGTATCAAGCACTCCTGACAAATGCTCACTCCAAAACCTCCAGCAAATGGACGGATGCAGGCCCCTCACTAAGTGGGAGGTACCCAAGAGCCGACACCAGAAGAAACAGACACCCAGTTACTGACTGCAGAAAGGCAAGGCTCACCCAGGAAGCACAACTCCTGTTAGGACTCGAGCTGTGACATCAGTTCTTCCCTGGGTCTCCAGCCAGCTGGCACAACCTGCAGATTTTGGACCTGCCAGCCCCCACAACGAAGTGAGCCAAGTTCTTACAATAAATCTCTCAATCTCTCTCTCTCCCTCCACACACACACACACACACACACCCTACTGATCTGCTTCTCTGGAGACGCCCCCACTAACACAATGACTGACATATAAAACCCATGCTTCCTGCATCCGTCTTGGTAAGGCAAGCTGAGCACACCCCACCGTGGCTCTGTCCCTGCGGGCCTGATGCAGCTGCTGGGATCACCTGCCTGCTCTCAGGAGTGGGAGGACACAGGAGGTGAGATGGTGAGACGGGGGGGTGGGGGAAGCTATTGGTCACAAACGATGGAAATGGGCTTTATTTAAAATTAACTCCCCTCAATGAAACAAGTGGTCCTGAGGTGAGAAGAAGAGACAGACCATGGGCCAGCGGGACTGCCCAGGCCAAAGCCCTCTGCACCCCAGAACCCTTGTGCCGGGGCTGCACCGGGAACCTGAGCTGAGCTGAACCCTTACACAGTCTTACTGCCTGACAGTTGTCTTTGTTCTTTGAGATGATTCACAAACCATTAAGCTGACTCACTGAAAGTGTACAATTGAGTGCTTATAGTTTATTCAGAGCTGTGCACCATTGTGTATTCCAAAACATTTTCATCACCCTAAAAAGACACCACACACCAATTAGCAACCACCAATTTGCTTTCACAGAAAGGGACCTGGACTTGTGGCCTCTCTGCCTCCATACTGGCACTGCGCTTGGTGTTCAACCACCCCAAGGGGCATCACCCATCCCTTTACTACGGAGCACCGACTATACGGGGTGCTGCTCGGGGCTCTGTCTTGTTCACTGAGGCTCCCTAAAGCTGCCCGTGCTTGGCACCTATGTTGCCAGCTGGTGTCAGCTGCCACCGAGGGAAGCTCTGCGTAGGTGGGAAGGGGTGCTATACTGAAGTCAGTCTGGGAGTCTGGACTGTGGAGAAGCCAGCAGCCTACGCTGCAGAAGCCCAA